CTGAGCAAGATTCCCCTACTCTGTTCAGGAATGACCTGTCTCCTCGCTGTCCTCCTCCGCGCTCACCTCCGCCCTCTCACCCTTGCCCCTCAGGCCTCAGCCAGAACAAAATGGCTGCTGCCCCTTGGAGGCAGCCATTTTAGGTGCCCAGACTGCGGCCTCCCCTGGGATGGGGCTATGTCTCCATGGGAACCTCAGGCCCCCAGCTCCCTGCTCCCACCCTGAGGTGTGGGGAGCAGACATGGAAGTCTTCCAGGCCTGGCTAAAGTGCCCTCCGTCCTTTTTTTTCCTCCCTGAGACCTGGAGGGGACCAGGCCCCTCACCAACTCCCTTCCCCCAATGCCACGGGGAGGAACAGATGGCATCTCTGGGTGTCCTTCTCCTTTCGTCTCCTTCCTTCCATTTCTGGCTCTTTCTGTCTCTCCGTCACTGCATCTCTGAGCACAGAGAGGAGCGTGCCTGTCCCGGCGTGTTAACGCCTGCTTGTGTGTATGTGGACACACGTGTACCTCTTCCCAGCTCATGTCTGAGGCAGGCCCATCTTACACCTCCCCCCGTTCCAGTTTTCCCCTGGTTTTTATTGTATCTTCTAAAAAAAATAAAGTTGAAATGTGTCGAGTGAGAAAAACTTGTTCCATTTTTTTTTTTTTTTTTTTTTTTTTTTTCTGGAGGAAGAAAAGGGTCAGGAGGCAGGCCCCAGGGATGTGGTTCTCTGTACCCCAGGCTTGACCACGCAGCCCCCCACCTCTGGCCTTCCCCTGCAGGAGCTTAAGGAGGCCTATCTGATCTAGAGAACAGAGGAGAGAGACAGAGGGATGGGGGATAGGGGGCCTACAGAGTGTTCCCTCTCCTAAACAAGGTTCTGCCTCGTGCCCAGAGGACCCTATCATACCCCAATGGGCTTAACCCAATTCTTGCTGTGGGGAGAAGGCAGGAGCTATCTTTCTCTGCCAAAGAAGCATTCATCCACTCCACGTGCTCATTCATACATTCACCCATTAATTTAACAAAACAAAACAACAACAACAAAAACGGATTCTCTGCAGACAAAACATTCTAATTGGGGATGGGGTACAGGCAAGAAACCAATATTCTAAAGCAAGTTACCATTCACAAACTGTCTTGTTGCTGTTGTTTTTCAAGACGTGGTTTCTCTGTGTAGCCCTGGCTGTCCTGGAACTCACTCTGTGCACCAGACTGGCCTGGAACTCAGAGATCGGCCTGCCTCTGCCTCCCTACACAAAGTGTCTTTATTAAAATAAAAGCTGGCATTTATTGGAAGATTCTTTTATTGTTTTTATTTTTAATGTAAGCTCATCAACCCATCAACCTACTTGGTGGCTCTATAAAGGGAGTAGTTTAATAACCCCATTTTATAGACAGGAAAATCAAGGCTAAGAAGGATATCTCAAAGTTTGTTTGTTTTTCTTTTACAAAGTGATGGTGCGTGCCCTAAATCCCAGCACTCTGAAGGCAGAGAGTTTAAGGTCAGCCTGGTCTACACAGTGAATTCCAAGAGAGCCAAGCGTACATAGTGAGACCCCATTTCAAAAACAAAATAAAAAGCAGGTGAGCAGCGTTGACCAACAAGCAGAAGCTCAAATTGCTTGTATCTAACCAAAGCACTACACAGCCAAGGAGCCAAGGGGTTAAAGGAGAGATGCAGTCAGGAATTGTTCCTTTTTTTTTGAAACTATACCCAAAACTGGGGTGGGCGTAGCCCTTGCCAGCCCCCACTCCATTTTAATTCTGCCTTTGCCATGATTCCACGTCCCATCCTCACTCTCAGGCCATCTGACTTAGGTGGGGTGCAACTTCCTAGCTGCACAGCCTCTGAAGAGCTTGTCCTTGGAGACCACCAAGGCAGTTGTGGGGTTGGTGGAGGGACCCCGGGTTCTGGTCTCAGCTTAATCTCCCTCCTGTGGCCTAGCTACACCCATTTCCCTGCAGAGGCCTCTGTGGAAGGAAGAGCAAGTGCACACACTGCTCTCTGACCGTCCAGCTCCTGGCCTCCAGGCGTCCTGGACAGCTTCACATCCGCAGCCACTGTGTGCCTCCAACACAGCATCTTGTTTGGTGTGCAAAATCAAGCCCCCTGAGGAGGATTATCTGGGTGGGGTCAAAGGACATCCATCCACCTGGGTTGAGTGACTGGGCGGGGAGCCCTCCTCCCTCTGCTTTGTTGCCATCCTTGTGCTTGACATGTGTCCTGGTCGGTCTCTGAATGTGTGTGCTGGAAGTAGAGCCAAAGTTGGGTGTGCACAGGTAGGCGGAGGGAGAGATAAGAGGTGTGTTCTGGGCCTAGAAGCAGCACCTGCCTGAATCCAGTGCGGGCAAGGGTACCCTCTCCCACACAGGTTGTCTCTCTGGGTAGGGGTATGTTTCCATTTTTCTGCACCAAAGAGTAGGGAACGGGGTGGGGTGGGTGTGTCTAAAGCTCCTGCCTTCAACCTGCACCCTTTATTGAGAGGGGAACTGAGAAAACAGAGCATCCTCCCCTACCCCAGCTAGCCAGACCCCTGCCAGGCTCACCTCCTCCCCTCTGGCCTCTCCTGGGACCGCCTGGGTCAGCCTCTGTGCTTTTGTATCTTCTGGAGGGGGAGAGTGTTTGGGTCCCATCTAGAAACTCTAAGCAGTCCCCAACTGGGGCACATCCTCCCTCCCACTAACCAAATCAGAAGGCCAAGAGAAACCCACTGATGGATGGGGCAGGCTACCTGGCAAGGATCAGGGTAAGTGAGGGCTCAGGGAGGAGAGAAAAGGGTTAGGGACCCAGACCTGTGCCCACCCTAACCAGCTGGGGGGCACATAGCTCATCTCCAACTTCCCCCCCACCCCACCCCAATGCACACATGCCCTTGACACCCAAGGAAACATCTCCGATGTGGTAACTCCGCAGGGACACACACACACACACACACACACACACACACACACACACACACACACTCTCCCGTGCAGAGGCACAGACACCCAGGCAGGCAAATCTTTTCCCTTTCTCTCTCTTTCCCTTGGTTTGAATTTCGTTCAGCCACATATGTTGTGTGTGCGTGAGGGTGGGTGGGGGAGGGGCAGACAGGGATGAGGAATGGCATGGTGCCAGCATCTACCTATGGGGCTCGGGCCAGGGATGCCCCCTACACCCACCCTGGAAGGAGGCCTCAGCTGTCCCTTTGTGGTGGAGGGGAGCTCTCGGGGAGTAGGAGTAAGCACGGAGGTCCCTTTTCCACACCCCAGGGTCTGGTCCTGACCCACCTTGGGGACCTGGAGACAGGGAAATGGACAGATCAAGACCCTGGAGAGAGCCATGAACTGGCCAGCCACCACAAACCTCCAATCCTCAGACTTTGCCACCCCATTGTTCCTATGTGGGGGGGCTCTATATCTGAGGGGGGGCAAATCCTCCCACCCCCCTCTCAATCCCTGCTTTCCCTGCGTTGGGTGGGGAGGGGAGGGCGGCAGAGATATTTATTTATTTCCTTTATTTATTTAATTTTTTTTTTTTTTTTTTTTTTTTTTGGAGTAGAGAGTGACAGATGGCGGCGGGTCCCGGGGGAGCCGGCTCTCCCCCAATGCAGACGCATGCCAATCACCGTCTCTCATGTGATAGCTGCTGCCCGTGACGTGCCAAGCCCATATGGCCTGGCATAGAGGCTGGTACCCCGCCTGGTAGAGATGCCACACTCGCTCCGCGGCTCGCATGGCGCTCTGAAGACGCCGGCGCCCGCCGCCTTGAGGAACCGCTGCCCCCGCTCCCTGAAGATGGGGGAACAATGAAATAAGCGAGAAGATTCCTCTTCTCCCCCCCTCTCTCTCTTGCCCCCTCCCCCCTCCCCTCCCCTCTCCCCTTGACTCCTCTCTGAGGTAAGTTGTCCGAGAAGGAGCTGGATCTGACCTGACGATTGGTGGGGAGGGGGGGTGCACCGCTTCGGACATGAAAGTCCCCCGGTCCTCCCATTCCTGGGACTCTACCCCTTCACCGGGTGGGCATCGGGGTCGCCCCGCGTTCTTCCTCCCATTGGGGCCGCAGCTCAAGAGGCCGCGGAGGGAGATGTTATGTTTAGGATGGGCTGGGGGGGGGGAAGGGTCAGGAGGCCCAAGGGGAGGCGAGGGGGGGGGGCCCCCCCCCCACCAACGTCCCGAAGAAACCAGCGACCATCCCCCACCCCCAAAAAAAAAAAAAAAAAAAAAAAAAAAAAAAGATAAGCAAACAAACAAATTCGGATTCCAACCCCCCCCAATGGATCCCAAAATACAACGAGATCCGAAGAGACGTGTAGGAGGGAGGCAGTTCGAAGGGGGGAAGGGGGTCCCTGACCGCCGGGGAGACGAACGGGGTTCGCTCCCGGGTCTGCTCCCCGAGCCCCGGCTTCTCCAGCCCTCGCCACCCGGAGCAGGCTCCGGGAGATCCGGCCGCAGCGGCTCGAAGAGCCGGGGCTCCCCGGCGCCTGGAATTGGGGCTGCGGGGGTGGGGGCCGGGCCGGGGGCGGCGCGCGGCCAACTTGCAAATTGGATTAGGGAGCGTGGGGGCGGTGAGAGGCACCGGAGGGGCCGGGACCGGGCACCGGGCAGCGGTGCCCACGGCAGCCGCCCAGCCCCTCTCCATCACCGGGAGGGAGAGAGCAGGCTTTGGGGCGCGAGCACCGCCCCCCCCCAAACCCCGAAGAGGGACCCGGCCCTTTAATCCCCCACCCGGCCCCCCTCCCGGGGGCCCCCCCCCCCCGACACCCGCCCGGGGCGCAGCCAGGGCCCAGCTCCGGGGGGGCGAGGGCCTGGGCCGCGGTGCCCGCCCCGCAGGCAGCCGGGCAGGGCTGGGCCGGCTCTGGGTGGGGCAGCGAGACGAGGTGGGCATCGGGGTGGTGGGGGGGGGGGTGCCCGGAGCCGGAGCGCGCCCCGAGACTTGGTGGGGGGTGGAGGCGGGTCGGGGGGCCTCCCCGGAGCTGCCCTCACTCTGTGCCGTCTGTCTCCCCGCCCCCCCGGGGCGCCCCCCACCAGGCACCATGCTGACCCGCCTGTTCAGCGAGCCCGGCCTGCTCTCGGACGTGCCCAAGTTCGCCAGCTGGGGCGACGGCGACGACGACGAGCCGCCGAGGAGCGACAAGGGCGACGCGCCACCGCAGCAGCCGCCGCCGCCGCCGCCGCCTCCTCCTCCACCACCTCCTCCCCACGCCGCCCCGGGCACCGGGGCACCGGGAACCGCCCGGGCCTCCAAGCCCGTGTCCCTCCGCGGAGAAGACGTCCCCCAGGAAGCCGCGTTGGCCGAGGTCAAGGAGGAAGGGGAGCTGGGAGGAGGCGAGGACGACGACGACGACGACGACGAGGAGGGCCTGGACGAGGCGGAGGGCGAGAGGCCCAAGAAGCGGGGGCCGAAGAAACGCAAGATGACCAAGGCGCGCCTGGAGCGCTCCAAGCTGCGGAGGCAGAAGGCGAACGCGCGGGAGCGCAACCGCATGCACGACCTGAACGCGGCGCTCGACAACCTGCGCAAGGTGGTGCCCTGCTACTCCAAGACGCAGAAGCTGTCCAAGATCGAGACCCTGCGCCTGGCCAAGAACTACATCTGGGCCCTGTCGGAGATCCTGCGCTCCGGCAAGCGGCCGGACCTGGTGTCGTACGTGCAGACGCTGTGCAAGGGCCTGTCCCAACCCACCACCAACCTGGTGGCCGGCTGCCTGCAGCTCAACTCGCGCAACTTCCTCACGGAGCAGGGCGCCGACGGCGCCGGCCGCTTCCACGCCTCGGGCGGTCCTTTCGCCGTGCACCCCTACCCCTACCCCTGCTCCCGCCTGGCTGGCGCCCAGTGTCAGGCGGCCGGAGGCCTGGGCGGGGGCGCGGCGGCGGCTGCGCACGCCCTGCGGACCCACGGCTACTGCGCCGCCGCGGCCTACGAGACGCTGTACGCGGCGGCGGCGGCGGGGGGCGGGGGCGGCGGCGCCAGCCCGGACTACAACAGCTCCGAGTACGAGGGCCCGCTCAGCCCCCCGCTCTGCCTCAACGGCAACTTCTCCCTCAAGCAGGACTCGTCCCCGGACCACGACAAGAGCTACCACTACTCTATGCACTACTCGGCGCTGCCGGGCTCGCGGCCCGCGGGCCACGGGCTGGTGTTCGGCTCGTCGGCCGTGCGCGGCGGCGTGCACTCCGACAACCTCCTGTCGTACGACGTGCACCTCCACCACGACCGGGGCCCCATGTACGAGGAGCTCAACGCGTTTTTCCATAACTGACGCCCCTCGCGCGCCGACCCCCTCTCCTCCTCCTCCTCCTCCACCTCCTGGGCCTCGGCCTTTGGGCTGGGGTCCTCCCCCCTCGGGGACGCCCTCGGGGCGCGCGGGGGGTTCTGCGGCTCTCCGCGGCGGTGGCGCGCGCTCTGACCTGTGGGTGGCCCGTCCCAGGGGCCTGTCGCTCGGCCCTGGGGACTCGCCTTCTCTCTCTCTCTCTCTCTCTCTCTCTCTCCCCCCAACGGGCTTCCTCCCCCCCCTCCTTGGAGAGCACCTCTAGGGACCTCCCGCTCAGCCCTCCCAGGAGACCCCCTCCGCATTCCCAAACTTGGGTTTTCTCTCCCCTCCCCCCCAGGCCGGAAGGCGTTGGTTAGGGGCAGCTAGCTGAGTTTCGGGATGGTGACTCTTTCCCCCTCACCCCCACTTATGGTTACTTTAAAAAAAACAGACGCCGAGCTGCCCAGGCCGAAACGAGTTGCTATCTGTTCCTTCTAGAAGAAGGCAAAAGCCAGGGCGCCCAAACGCCTTCACCCCGACCCGAATCTCCGCGGGGTTTTTTTTTTTTTTTTTAACTTTTTATTTCGGTGGGAAGGGATGCGGATTGAGAGGAAAGAGAGAGGCAAAGCCAATTTGTAACTAGGATAATTTTTCCTTTTCCCTTTTTAAAAAAAAAAAAACAAAAAACAAACGAACATACAAAAGGAAAAAAAAAAGAGAAAAAGGAAAAAAAAAAAAAAAAAAAGGCAGAGAGGCAACGGGAGGCCGAACTCAGAGTCCGGATCGGAGAGAAAACGCAGTAAGAACTTTTAGAAGCAATAAAGGCAAAAATAAATAATAATAATAATAATAATATACTACCAATAATAATTTTTAAAAAGACACAACTATCTATGCAAGGAGGTTCTGACTGAGCCTAGCAGCCCGGCCCGGGACGCCCCCTCGGGTCCGCCGGCTGCCCCGCCCACGCGCGGATCTGTGCACTTTGGTGAAGTGGGGGGCCCGCGCCGCCCCTCCCCCCAGGTCCTTACAATCAATGACTCGGAGATTTGGAGCCCCAGTGCCACCGCCCTCCCCCCCCCCCCCCCCCCCCCCCCCCACCCCGGCCCGCCCCGTCCCGTTGCGCGTCGTACTGTTTTCTAAAAAGACCTGTTTCCAAATTTGTATGGAATGGCAAACTGTTGGGGGGGTCGGTTTGGGGAGGGAGGGTTTGCATGAGAGACACACACACACACACGCACCGCACGCACACGCACACACACACGCACCGCACGCACACGCGGGCCCGCCGCGGGCGTCGGGGACACGAGGGGACGAGTCTCCTGGCTCCGGCCCTCCCCGTCCAGCCCCTCTCGGGGTGAGGTGGGGGAGCCCAGACCTGGGGCAGCCCTGCCCCTGCCCGGACTGTGCCTCGGTGGGCGCCAAGCTCCTGGTGGCTGCTGGTGGCGGGAGAGGGTTTGTTTTTGTTTTTATTTATTTTTTTCTTTTTTGATTTGTTTTGTTTTGGTTTTTTTTTTTTTTTTTTTTTTTGGTTTTGGTTTTGGTTTTTTGTTTTGTTTTTTTTTTGGGGGGGGATTTCTGTTGTCGTTGCTTTGGTTTTCTGTTGCGTGGTGTGTTTCGGTTCGAGGCTCCCCCTGACTTTGGTCCCCCAGCGAGCTGAGGGAGGCAACAGGTGACCCTCTCCCCGCCAGGCAGGGACATCAGGCACCCAAACACTCGATGCAAAAAAAAAAAAAAACGCAAACCCACAGGCGACACACCCCCAACACACGCAATTCGACCTTCCTCTTGTAGCGAAGATGAAACTCCTGTCGGACACCCGAAGTGCATTGCGTGTTTCTGTTGAGTTTAATGGCGATTAATAAATATTTATGTAAATGAGATGCAAAGCAGACCCGCCTTTCTCACGGTGCTCTCTTTTCGTGGGTGGGGACCAGGGCTGATCTCGGCCTAGGGTGACCGAGGCTACCTCGTCGAGGGACTGTTCAGAAGCCTGCGGGGACGGCTGTGGGCGTTCTTGGGCGGGGTCCCCACACCCCCCCCGCTTGTAAACAGTCACGCCTGCCCCCCCTCCCCGGCCCCACCCAGACTGACACAGGCACCCAGGCCAAAACACCCCTGCGATCTACTTACACTCAGCTCCCCTAAACACCCAACGACCTTCTCTGAAAACAAAACAGCTTCTCGTCAATGAACAGTTACCAAAGTGGGACCATTTTACAGCCCTTGGCTTAGCTGGTACAGAAACCAGACGAGAGGAAATAAAGAAAACGCGTGAGGCAGACATGGATATTCTTGAATTAAAAAAAAAAAAGATTATGAGGATAAAATAAATATTAATGGGGAAATCTCCTTTCTATCTTAAATTTCTGCTTCAGTGGGCTCAAAGGAGTGGGCTCTTTTGGCGTCGGGGATACCGAGGTTTTTAGGGGTGCAGATAAGGTTGGAGGCCTATAAAGTGGCTGAATTTGGAGGGGGTGCTGTTTAAGGACAAGACCTGGTGAAGGGTAAGAGCGAAAGGGGACAGCCCCGATTAACAGCTGCAGAGTCTCCTCCTCTGCTGCAGTTCTAAAAAGGGGGGGCTCCGTGGAAAGCACACAGGAAGACCCACTTTTGCCCGAACCTCACCATTTTTTCCCCTCTAACCCCTAAAGGCAGAGGCAGCTTGGCCACAGACTTCCCTCCCCCCCCCCAAAAGGTGCCTCTTCCTTAGACCCCAGTACCCATCAGAGCTCTGAAAGGGATTCTGGGTCCTAAAAACTCGAATCCTAAAACCTAAGAAGACTTAGGAATTCCCCAGAGAAGCTACCTTTGGTCCTTCCCCTGTCCCCCCCCCCAAAAAAAAAGCCATCATTTTAGGATTGAAGTGAGGTTGGATGTGGTATTGTTCAGGGTTGAGGTCAGATATGCTAAAAGGCTCTTAGGTCCATGACCCAAAATAAGATCTTTCTAAGCAAGAAGCAAGGAAGAGAAAGGAGGGAGTCTAGATGCGAAAGGGGGATCAGATTTGTGCTGCAACTGTGCTCAGCCACTCCGCTAAGTCCCCAAACCTCACTCTTTAGTCTTCCGGGTAAAAACAACATCCCCCGGGGTAGCCTCCAAGCCGTAGCAGACCGAGGGGAGCCGGGAGCTGTCCAATCCGCGGTGCTGACCAGCAGCTAACATTTTTTTTTCCCCCTCCTGGAGAAGAGAGGCGAGCGCCTGGCACCGGGCAGCGGAGCCTGTCGGAATTCTCCTGCAGGGAGGCTTCCTAGGAGACTTTGGTGGCTAATTCCTTTAAAACGTTCGCCGTGTTCTCTGGATTTCTCTCAGGACCACCCCTCCAGAGTGAGAGCGAACCCTTTGTCACTGGGATTCCTGTGGGTGGTTAATGAGATCCAACAGACCTCTGAATCACTTTGATTCTTGAGAGAAAGATTTTGGCCCATCCTCTCTATCCTCACTTCTGTGGGGAGCGAGGGTGGGGGTGGGGGAGCTTGCAGGATGCACATTCTGACCCAGACTCGAGGAGCTGGGCTGCGCCTGGTGCCTGGTGCTGGGCATGTCCTGCCTGGCAGGGGCATTTGGAAGAAAAGGAATTCGGCACCTTCCCAAGATGTGATTTTTATCTTGTCCTGGAAACAAGGTTAATAATTGGGCTTCTCTCCCGCTCAGCTGCTTTCCCAGAACTTGCTCTGAACTCCAGGCTGGGCCGGATCCAGGTGGCTTGGGGCCGGATGTGGAGGACCCCTCCACGTGGCTCCCCTGGCTAGACCGCAGCCTCCTCTATGTGCGGCTCTTCCAGCCACCCCACACTGCTTCGTTCCGTTCGGAGGCCAGATCTCAGCCTCTTTTGAAAGGTGGTGAGGCCCCTTGGGCTGCTGCACCTAGGGGTGCAAGGGGGTGGGGACGCAAGGACCCTTTCTTGGGGAGACAGGGACAGGGGAGCTTCCAACGCACCCCTCCAGCAGCCCAACTTCCCATCCCGACCTTCCCCCATACTCCCTGCACTCTGGCTGACTCCAGCCTCCCGCCACCGCCGCCCTCTTCCCCAACACAGCACTCAACTGCCCTGGTGATGAGCAGGAGAAGAAGATGTGCAGAGACACTCGGCCCCAGACGCCCCCTCACAGGTCTGCTTCTCTCGCTTGGCTTGCTGGAACACACGTCCAGAGAAGCTCCATGAACAGAAGGAGTTGGGCGGGGGGGTGGGGGGGTGGCGAGGGGGTGCTGGCATGGCTTGGGGCGAAGGTGGTGGACAGGGGCAGAAAGTACAGAGAGGAGCCCTCCCTTCCGTTCCCCTAGCCTAAGCAGCAGGCTCTCTAGAGCAGTGCACACACCCTGTTCAGATGAACCACCCCCACCCACCCCCACCCCCGGCTGCTTGGCCCCATGGCTGGATCCAGGTTCCATCCGGAGGGCCGGAGGGCGTCTTCTCCTTGGTTTTCCCAGCCCCCATCCCATGCCCAGCATTTGAAAAGGGGAGAGAAACAGAGCTAGCCTCTGGCTTAACTGGCAGGCTGGGGAAGGGGTGGGGCAGCTGCTTCTCCCCTCACCGTTGAAGTCCATCCGATGAATAGTGGGTCACTGTCCCTTGTGAAACTCCAGCTCTGGTTTTATCACCTAGGGTGAAACAGGATGAACCCCTGGGGGAGGCAAGGCAGATGAGTCCTAGGCGGACCAGCAGCTGGGAAGCCCTTCCTTCTGATATTCCACAGGCATGTGCCAGCTGGTTCTGCCTGCACAGGTCCGTAGCCACCCTCACAGAGGTCAGAGCTCAGCCTTGACTTCTTACTCTTCCAAGACCCTGTACCCGGAGGGTCAGCCTTTCCAAGAAGCCTCCATGGATTTTGGAGAGTGCAGGACTAAGTAGGCAGGGGCGAGAGACAAGGAGGAGCCTGGCCACCCTCAGTCTCAACCTTTACTCCAAGCCCCTAACCACAGGACCACGGAGGGCCAAGGGCTGCCCAGAGCTCCATCCTGACCTGTTGTGGACAATTTCAAAGGGGATAAATCCAAAAACCAATTCTTGGTTATAGGGAGCAAGTGGAGACCGAGCCCGCAGGACAGGCCCAAGACACTCTCTGGTTTTTTCCCTTCCGAGCTTTGGTAGCCAGGTGTTGGCCACTGGTCTAGAATGAAGGTGGCACCCGGACTCTAA